AAAATTTCGCATATCAAATAGTCAAAAAAGTGAAAGTAGGAAAATATTTTCCTTTCCCTGGAAAATTCCGCCAATCAAACGGAGCCTAAGTTGATTTGGTTTTCTTGAGGGCTTGTAGAAGTCAAGTCACAGTTTGGTGCTTCAAGTCTCATTATTATTTGCGAGGATGTTATTCTTATTCGGTATGTTGTGTTCACGCATGAAACACAGGTTACTGGAGACCCTTTAATCCAACGGAAAGATGATACTTCCGAGGCTCTCAAATTAAGGCTGGAGGCATTTCGCCAGCAAACTAAACCTGTGAGTGTTTACTATCCGAGTTTCATTGCATATAGGCAATTGCTCAGTCATATCAAGGCTTTAGTTTCGATTCTTAGCAGCTTTGACAATCAAAAATATGTGCAGGTGATAGATTATTATTCAGAGAAAGGAGTTGTTGCCCATATCCAGGCTGGGAAACCATCCAAAGAGGTCACAGCTGAGGTTCACAAAGTTCTGTCTGCCTGAAGTGCATTGTCTTTCTGTTCTTCTTCTTTTGGATATTGCGTGTTATTATCGTTTCTTCTCATTCATATGACCATTAAGGTATCTTCGAATGATGTGAGTAAATACGTTTTGAATTGAAATTTGATGCCCCTTTGCTCATAAATTTAGTTTTCGTTTCCATGTGTATCCTTTTGTTTTGTAGGATACATTAAATTCGATGATTGTAGACTTGATGTTGGTACAGCTATAACTTGCAATTCTAGGACAATAGGACCAGATATACTTTAAAAAAATGAATATACAATTTGAAATGAACTATGCTCTCTTCCACCTTATTTGAATTGAACGGTTAGTGCCACTGTTCGTGTGAAACCTGCAAGCGTACGGGATCATTGACAAATAATACATGATGAGTAACGTGTATCGTCCCAAATGAATAAAAATCAATAAAAGTGTACTAGTTTCTAATCAAATTCAAAGCAAGCGAACAAAAGAGATTTGTGATATGTATTATTCTAAAAAAATTTATGGAAGCTTGTAAAATTCGAGTTTTGTATGTATATGGAATCAATGTATTGGTTTATGAATCCACCTATTACTATCTATTTGAATTCTCGATTATGTAGCTAATTTTATTCATACATTTTTTAATAATTCTATTGTAATTAATTCTTTTTTCCAAGACAAATTAAATATATCCTAGTCGCGACCTAAATATATTCCTAGTCCGAATTCGAATATATAGAACGCATTCGATTTCACGATTATATCAAAGATTACATACGTTATAAACAACATTCCTAGTAACTATTATGCATATGTTAATAAGTAGTGTTCTCAACTTATTGTGAACATTTCAGTACTACAATAAACAACTATATATTTAATTGGTAATCAAGCAATCAAATAATAAAATTATGCGTGCAAGATTAATCAAGAAATGCAAGCATTTAACTAACTAATTGTCTTGGATTAAAAATAAATAATATAATGTTTCTTCTTCATCCAATATATGAAAAGAATTAGCCTAGCATGCCGTCTAATAAATCATACAAAAAGATTTGGAAAAACATTATCCGGAATTTAAAAAATCGATTTCTTTTTCTTTAATCTTCAACACGGACTTTGTATCTTTTATCTTTTGTGTTAATTGCCATTGAGTCCCGTGCTAGCCTCCTTCTTGTGGTAAAAAATAGGGTTTTGATATGTGTTCCTTCATTCTGACCGTCCCTTGTAGGTTAAATAGTAGGTTGAATTTGATTTTGAATTTGGATCAAAAGAGGAATATGCCCTTTTATTTTTTCCAAAAAATGCCCCTGCGCTCGTAGCTTTGGCCATTTGCTCTCGGTAAATGAACCGTAGGGTGTCGCGTGCACGCACTTTTGTGAAAATTTCCTCTTGTTGCATTTTGGTCCCTCAATTTTGGTCTTTCATTCATTTTTACTCGTTTTGATATCTTCTTGTCCCTTTATCTTCCAATTCCATCAAATTGACTCCACACCTTTTCCAATCATCGATATTAGGTCCGAATCAATCCACAAACTTTGGATTCAATCGATTTTAGCCAATTTTTCGCTTCTTTTGTCCAATTCCATCGTTTTTCATAGAGATGCACTTAACAAACGAAATATATACAAAATCAAGCCTTAGTTTATTTAAAATAACAATAATTACTCTAGTTTAACAACTGAAATAAGTGTACAAAATACACTTATCAGCCACCTCATCGTTTTCGAGTAATAATTTGACATCAGTTATGTTTATGATGAATTAGAATCGTCACTTACTGTTTATGATTTTCATTCTTTTTGCCTCTATACATTATTGGTGGAGTTCTGTTTCTCCTTCTTCACCTTATATTCTATTAGTGTCTTCAGATTCCCAGACGATCTTCCAATATTACCACAAAATTAACATAGTGAAAATAAAAATTTTTTTTTTACAAAATATTTTCATATTTTAATTTAAGTGCACTCTTAAATGTTGTGTCTCTTGAATCTTGAGTACGGGTCAGTTGAATAATAGAATACAACTGTACAAGTAAAAATCAAAATAGTGGCACTATTAAAAAATAATGGCATGCAACAAATAAATTCAACAATAACATAAACTCTTCAATTGGAATTTTGATGTATAATGGTGTGCTGTCTTAAGCACCCAAAAATAGTTCTTAAA